ACACTGCACTGGGTACTGTATCCCACAATGCAATGCACACTGCACTGGGTACTGTATCCCACAATGCAATGCAATGCACTAGGTACTCTATCCCACAATGCAATGCACACTGCACTAGGTACTGTATCCCTCAATGCACTGGGTACTGTATCCCACAATGCACTGCACACTGCAATGGGTACTGTATCCCACAATGCAATGCACAGTGCACTGGGTATCCTATCCCACAATGCAATGCACACCGTACCGGGGTATTGTATCCCACAATGCATCAGGGTATTGTATCCCAGCCTGCTATGCAGTGTAACAAATGAACTGTTCATGATATAAGCTAGTGATCTTTCCCCACTTTCTTGACTCTGATTGGCCTGAATTAAAAATGCGAAATAACTATTTAGCCACTGAAGAAAACTCATCCACATTTGTATTATTTCAGTAGATGTTTATGTGTTCAGTACATTTCTAATAAGACACAATGAGCATAAATGTCCACTGAGGGCTCATGTGATCACTATGTTCACATATGAGAGATCAGTGCTCTAGTTAATATTGTACAGCTGTAATGCAACATCATCATCAACCTGTCAAAGCTCACACACACAATTTAGTGCCAAGATTAGTCTCGTTTCAAGAAACGTCGTCTTTCAGTTCATAACGCTGAGGTCTGACACCACAGCCTATAATCAGAGTCAGCCTGCGTGTGGCTTCATATGTGCAGTGGTCACTGCTGTTATAGAGATGGGGAACTATAATGATATGACTGCTGAAGTATGAACACTTTAAAATGTAAATAAATGTTTAATGAGGACAAACACAGCCTGAAACACGGCTTTCACTGCCGCTACGGTCAGCCAAGAATCTACAAATATAAATCACACAAACCAGCGTTCTGTCGCACGTCTCAAATGCAGATATGAAGCCGAGCGTATGAAGCATTTAAACACTAGTCTTGAACTAATGAAAAGGAATAAATCAGACTTTTGACAGTTCAGTGAGGGAATCAGAGCTACTTATAACCGTCGGGCTGCTTATTAAAACTAATAAAAGATGCTCTGAAACTCAATACTGTGCCAATAAAACATTCACTCCGCTGGCATTTTTTGCCCCTTTTTTCTCTCATTTTAATGGCATAAAACCATGATGTGTCACCGACAACCACAAATCAGTACAAAACACTATAAATACTAATTTAAGCATGACTTCAGCATGACTACATTAAATCTGAGTACATTAATCATGACTACATTAATAAACACATGATGTGCACCTGGAACAATAATCATTGTATAACATTAACATTTATTTTTATATAAATATATATATATATATATATATATAATACACACCCACTGTCAAAAGTTTGGAAGCATTACTATTTTTAATGTTGTTGAAAATAAGTCATCAAGGCTGCATTTATTTGATCAAAAATACAGAAAAAAACTGAAATATTGTGAAATATTATTACAATTTAAAATAATGTTATTCTATTTTAGTGCACTTTAAAATATAATTTATTCCTGTGATCAAAGCTGTATTTTCAGCATCATTACTCCAGTCTTCAGTGTCACATGATCCTTCAGAAATCACTCTAATATGATGAGTTAGTATCAATGTTGTGCTGCTTAATTTTTTTTTTTTTATATATCTTGTGATACTTTTTTAGGATTCTTTGATGAATAAAAAGTTAAAAAAGAATAGCATTTATTTAAAATAGAAATCTTTTGTAACAATATACACTACCGTTCAAAAGTTGGGGTCAGAAGTTTTTTTCCTTTTTTAAAAGAAATTAATACTTTTATTCAGCAAAAATGTATTAAATTGATAAAAAGTGATAAAGATTTATATTGTTAGAAAATATTTCTATTTGGAATAAATACTGTTCTTTTAAACTTTTTATTCACCAAAGAATCCTGAATAATAATCACAGGTTGTATGAAGCAGCACAACTGTTTTCAACATTAATAATAATCATAAATGTGTCTTGAGCATCAGATCCTCATAGAGTGATTTCTGAAGGATCATGTGACACTGAAGACTGGAGTAATGATGCTGAAAATTCAGCTTTAATCACAGGAATAAATTACACTTTAAAGTACATTAAAATAGAAACCCTTTATATATATATATATAGTAAAAATTGATATTATATAATTTTGTAAAAAAAATAATAATAATTGCTGCATATTGTGCAAAGAACCCGTTTTAGTAAATAGTTTCAGTTTTGATCATTTGAACTGCAGTATTAGTGAACTCACATGCTATAAATCACATGTGTGTATAGAGGTGAAAAGTGTGTAATAAATCTGTTTATATCTCTATCTGTTAGTGTTCCCATTCATCTCAATGAGTTTCTCGGCTAATGACTCTGCTGAAGTACGTGACCTGTTCTTTACTCACTTTAGCTGAAAATATCCTAAAATGACTCAAAATGACCAAACCTTACACCAAACACTGGAGAACGGTTCTGTTCGGTGACGCTAGAAATGACGCAGATCACCTTGAAGAAACACTGCAAAAGAGAATTAAGTCCTTTTTCAGACAGTCAACATTTCTGCCAAAAGAAATCAAGACTTCAAATCTTTAATATATTGTCTGCAGTATTACATCACATGTGCGTAATACAGCTTTAAACCAACACACTACCTTTCTAGAGGAATTATGGAAGCTTCCCGAGCCAGTGTGAGATTCAGTGTCTAGCAGAGGGTTTCGTCATTACAACAGGAACATGTTTCCTGGATGTGTGATTGAGAACAGACTCTCGGAGACGTTCGGTCCAGTCCAGACCAAACCCAGCTCCATCTGGACGAAACATCAGTGTGCGCAGGCCTGGAACTCATTCACTCTAGCAAACATTCATCATGCTGATAAACAATGTGACAGAACCAAACGCCAGTCCAGCTCGAAAACACACTCACACACAACATCCGACTGAAGGAGAACGAGCAGAGGCGCTCCACGCACGAGCAATGGAGATTTGAATACTAACAGAAATGGGCGTTTTAAACAAAATAAATGTCTGTTAAAACAATATTTGGAGAGAGTAAAATCCTTTAACACGCGTGGTGTGAGTAATTCTGTTCAGATAGTTTGTAGTGAGTGATTTTAAAGAGTCAGACATGTCCATTTCTGGCTTAACCAATCACGCGAGTTCACCTGTGTAACTGACCAATGACAGACAGGGGAGTATCATGAGGAAACCTGTGTGAAAACACTCATTATTGAAACACTAACACTTTAAAACAATCATGTTATAGAGAAGTAATGTGAATAATCAACCATTGAGTTATATTAATACCCTCCAAAACAATGTAGTCATAAATGTAAGATTTATGCATTTGAATTGCTTATAAAATTCCTATTAATTTGAATTACAGTTTTATCAAACAAATTAATGAACTTAAGGTCATGCATAAATTAATCAGGTAGGATTTCTGTACTAAAAAAAAAAAATTATGGCATAAAATGCATTCAAACTGAAATTAAGTATGCACAAATATGGCTTGCTGTGTAACAAGCAATATTCAGCTAGTTTAAATGTACGAGACGAAAATGTATCAATGATAAATATGTTAAAGCACATTTAGTTTGTTAGTACTATTACAGAAATCGCACCCGTTTCATTTATGCATGACCGACAAATATGCATTGCATTACATTTATTAGTTAAAACGGCGTAATCTAAATGGATGGAAAATTTGCAATGCAATTCAAATACATAAATCTTAAATTTAGGCCTAAATATTTTTTGCAGTGCATGATCAAATAAAACCACGTCACTAATCTAATCAGAGAACAGTTTAATTGAGTTAATCATTGAAGCATAAAACATCAAATTCATTATTTCAATGTATACAAAAATAATTAAAAATGCACTGCACATAAAATGTTCTTCTGTGAAACACAAAAGACAGCGTTTGGCAGAATGTCAGAGTATCATAACAGCATCAAACCCTCACTGATAATCTACAGATCTCAGATCTATCTATGATACGACTCCAGGAGACTTGACATACAGTGCAACGTTCTTTTTGGAGCTTGATAGTGTAAAATCATCCAGTTCAGTGTGAAAAACAGCATTCAGCACAATGCTTCACAGAAGAAGAGGAGGGAATGAGTGGGTTATGAGCGTGTTATAAATGTGTTATGAGCGTGTTATGAGCATGTTATGAGTGTTTTATGGACGTGTTATGAGTGTGTCATGAGCATGTTATGAGTGTTTTATGGGCGTGTTATGAGCATGTTATGAGTGTTTTATGAGCGTTTTATGAGCATGTTATGAGTGTTTTATGGGCGTGTTATGAGCATGTTATGAGTGTTTTATGAGCATGTTATGAGTGTTTTATGAGCATGTTATGAGAGTGTTATGGCCGTGTAATGAGTTTGTTATGAGCGTGTTATAAGTGTGTTATGAGCGTGTTATAAATGTGTTATGAGCTTGTTATGAGTGTGTTATGAGCATGTTATGGGGTGTTATGAGCGTGTTATGAGTGTGTTATGGCCGTGTTATGAGTGTGTAATGAGTGTGTTATGAGCTTGTTATGGGCGTGTTATGAGCATGTTATAAATGTGTTATGAGCTTGTTATGAGAGTGGTATGAGTGTGTTATGAGCGTGGTATGAGCGTGTTATGAGCGTGTTGAGTGTGTTATGAGCGTGTTGAGTGTGTTATGAGTGTGTTGAATGTGTTATGAGTGTGTTGAGTGTGTTATGAGTGTGTTGAATGTGTTATGAGTGTGTTGAGTGTGTTAAGAGTGTGTTATGGGCATGTTATGAGTGTGTTATGAGCGTGTTATGAGTGTGTTAAGAGTGTGTTATGGGCATGTTATGAGTGTGTTATGAGCGTGTTAAGAGTGTGTTATGGGCATGTTATGAGAGTGTTATGAGCGTGTTATGAGCGTGTTGAATGTGTTATGAGCGTGTTATGGGCATGTTATGAGCGTGTTATGAGTGTGTTATGAGCGTGTTATAAGCGTGTTATGGGCGTGTTATAAGCGTGTTATGGGCATGTTATGAGAGTGTTATGAGTGTGTTATAAGCGTGTTAGGAGCGTGTTATGGGCGTGTAATGAGCGTGTTATGAGTGTGTTATGGGCGTGTTATGAGCGTTTTAGCATGCCCAGATTGAGCAGGATGGAGCTTAGGTTGATGTTGAGGAAGGCTTGAGAACGGTCAGCGGTTCGGTGCATCTCCTGCAGCAACAAATGCAGCGACGACACTTCAAACAGACGCTTGTTCTTCCTGCAACCAAACAGAATCACAGCTGAACCTCCCAATACACACATGACCTACAGCTCTGTCGGTCACAGCTCTAAACCTTGTGTGTATTCCTGTCTGTCCTCTTCAACAGGACCGACAGGAAGAAGGTTTTGCAGTGAAGTCACTGCACTCTCTCAATGAGATCTTCTTGACACTGTTTACAAAAACCAAACTTAACTAATGAGTCGTTTTCCCTTGCAGAAACAGTCAACATGATGGACTACAAGCTGGTTAGATCGGGGGTTTTCAATCTTTAGATGCCACGGACCCCAAATGATCATCCTCGTGCGAGGGACCTCATGTATTAAGATAATGTAAAAAAATTATATTATGCATGGGGTGGGCGATATGGCAAAAATATCATACTACGATTTTTTTCAGGAAAATTATGATTCACGATTTTATGTGAATCAAGTGACTGAGCATTATACACGTCTAATATACACGCATTCAAAAAGCAGATTTTCTCTCAATTTTCTCTGTTTGCTTTCACTTTAGACATAACCAACTTTGTTCATGTAAACCTTGTGTGTATTTGACAGTATTAGCGCAATAAGACACGAAAGATAACTTAGTCCAGTAAACAGACGCTGTTAGACAGGCTTTTAGTGTCTGTGCACTTTGGGTGTGTGCGCTCAGAAAAGCGCATGTTAGAACAGCGCATCAGCACGTGAATTACATGTTTAACCAGCAAGGCTTTAAAGCACATGCAAATAATGAACTTTTGTGAATTACAGTGTCCCGTTCCTCTGCGTTAACATTTGATGTGAATATACGTTGTGTTGAACAGTATGTTGAGACAGAGGCGCCAGAACTGAACTGATAGATTGCACGATACTACGATATTTCTTCAAAAGCAGATCGTGGAGACATTTTAATCGTCCACGATCAAAACCCGTGATATCACACACCCTTAATTATGAATATTGTGTAAAATATTATTTTGCAAATATTTAGTTTCTGGTACATTACATCATTGCATTTTTTATCTACTCATTGTAGTACTGTACTGATACATTTTTTATTTATTTTAATTAAATTGTATTTATTTATTAATTCACTTTAAAAAAAAATTAAAATAAAATGTAGTTATTTATTATTTACTTAAATATTTTATTTATTTGCATTCATTTCAAAATGCATTTGCATTTTTATTAATTTATTACTTGAATCAAATGTGAGTCATTTTTTTAAATCATTTTTTTTAATCAAATGTATTTAATTATTTTAATATTTTTATTTATTTTAATGTATTGTATTCAAATATATTAATTTATTAGCTATTTGAACCAAATCTGATTTATTTAGTTAATTAGTTTAATTTTATTTGTATTTATTATTTATTTAAATAATATTTTTATATTAATTTAAATTTATTTTATTCAAATATATTACTTTATTAGTTATTTGAATCAATTGTGATTAATCTTAACATTTTTTTTATTTAAATAAAATATATTTATTTAGTTAATTGGTTTAATCTTATTTTTATTTATTGTAACATTTATTTATTTAACTTCATTAATGTATTAGTTATTATAATCAAATGTGATTTATTTTAATATATTTTTTATTTTACTCAAATATAAAAATATTATTTAAATAAATAATAAATTAAAAGATTGAACCAATTAACTAAATAAATAAATAAATACATTTATTTAAATTCATTTGATTTAAATGTATTAATTTATTAGTTATTTGAATCAAATGTGATTTATTTTATTCTTTTTTATTTACAATTAAACGTAATTATTTTGTTAGTTAATTGGTTTAATATTATTTTTATTTATTATTTAAATGTTTTTTTATTTATTAAAATTGTATAACAATGTATTCATTTATTACTTATTTGATTCCATTGTGATTAATCTTAACATTTTTTTAATTTAAATAAAATGTATTTAGTTAGTTAATTGGTTTAATCTTATTTTTATTTATTGTAACATTTATTTATTTAACTTCATTAATGTATTAGTTATTATAATCAAATGTGATTTATTTTAATATTTTTTTTATTTTACTCAAATATAAAAATATTATTTAAATAAATAATAAATTAAAAGATTGATATTTAAATTTTATAACAATGTATTAATTTATTACTTATTTGAATCAAATGTGATTTTTTTTTATCAAAAGTGTTTTTTTATTTTATTTAGTTAGTTAATTAGTTATTATTTATTGTTTTATTACACAGATTTCCTCTAAACGTTTGCCCCTTGCGTGTCCCTGGACCCGTTTGAAACCCCCAGTGTTAGAGGAGGAGACACTCACCGGATACTGGAGAGCTTCTGGAGGAGCATGAGCATCTTCTCCACCAGTGACGGCTCCACGCGAGGGTTACGGAGGAACATCGAGGCGCAGCGTAAGAAATCCTCTGTGCTGCACTGATCCAGGAAAGCCGACAGCAACCCTGATGGACAGAGGACAATACTCAGGGATTCTCATTGGGGAAAACTCTATAATATCGTCTTGAGTGGGTTCATGGCTTTAAAGCTTTTGCGTGAAACACTGCTTCTAATCTAGACGAGTAGAAAACATGTCCACACTCGAGTCTCAGAATACTGTAGATGAAAGAGGAATCCGGTTATGAGACACACAGACACAGAAAAGACCTTCCATGAAAACACAGTTTTCTGAAATATGATGTTTAAATATGCAAGTGATGCATTACGTATATAATTAAATACGCACTAATTTGCATATTGTATAAATGCAGTTGTATAAATATAGCCATTTTGTTAAGACTGTGTGTGTCTTAACAACTAGTACAAACAACTAGCAGTTAGTTAGAGGTAATCAGTCTTACTTTTCAAATTACACCAATCTACGTTTTTATGACTTGAAACTACGGAAGCCCTGAACCGCAACATAAAAAAAATAAAAATCTGTAAAAAAAAAAAAAAAATCACAAAAAAATCTAGCATTTCGAGAATAAAGTCGAAAAATTTCGAGAATAAAGTCGAAACATTTCGAGATTAAAGTCGAAACATTTCGAGACTAAAGTCGAAACATTTCGAGAATAAAGTCGAAACATTTCGAGAATAAAGTCGAAACATTTCGAGAATAAAGTCGAAACATAGTCGGATAGATGCACTTTTATGATGGACAGATGCACTTTTATGATGGATAGATGCACTTTTATAATGGATAGATGCACTTTTATAATGGATAGATGCACTTTTATAATGGATAGATGCACTTTTGTGATGGACAGATGCACTTTTATGATGGATAGATGCACTTTTATAATGGATAGATGCACTTTTATAATGGATAGATGCACTTTTATAATGGACAGATGCACTTTTATGATGGACAGATGCACTTTTGTGATGATAGATGCACTTTTATGATGGACAGATGCACTTTTATGATGGATAGATTCTCTTTTGTGATGGATAGATGCACTTTTTATGATGGATAGATGCTCTTTTATGATGGATAGATGCACTTTTATGATGGATAGATGCACTTTTATGATGGATAGATGCACTTTTATGATGGATAGATGCACTTTTATGATGGATAGATGCACTTTTATAATGGATAGATGCACTTTTATAATGGATAGATGCACTTTTATAATGGATAGATGCACTTTTATAATGGACAGATGCACTTTTATGATGGACAGATGCACTTTTGTGATGATAGATGCACTTTTATGATGGACAGATGCACTTTTATGATGGATAGATTCTCTTTTGTGATGGATAGATGCACTTTTTATGATGGATAGATGCTCTTTTATGATGGATAGATGCACTTTTATGATGGATAGATGCACTTTTATGATAGATAGATGCACTTCTATGATGGATAGATGCACTTTTATGATGGATAGATGCACTTCTATGATGGATAGATGCTCTTTTGTGATGATAGATGCACTTTTATGATGGACAGATGCACTTTTGTGATGGACAGATGCTCTTTTATGATGGATAGATGCACTTTTTTTTTTTTTTTTTTTTCACTCTTATTTTTATTGTTTTAGGCAGGTCAAAGACAAAGCATAGTGATCTCAATTTTGAGTATGGTTACATAATGCAAAAATAAAATAAAAATGAACAAATAAACATAAGACAGCAACCAGATGTCATGATATATAAAAAAAAAAAATATATATATATATAATAAAGAAAAAACTTCAGATTACACAGTTTCTAATGCAAATCTATATGCTATCCATTTGCTCCATTTTTCTTTAAATTCAGCTTCTTTCAGTCTTAGAATAAAGGTCATTCTTTCCATGGTGAATATTTCCTGCACAATGTCCATCCACTGAGTATGGCTGGGTGGCTCAGGTTTGAGCCAACTTCTTGTTATCGCTTTCCTCCCTGCCGACAATAATATCTTAACCAGATATCGATCATCTTTCTTTACATTGGACAAAAGACCCAGATACATTGTTGTAAAAGTTAATGGTACAGAGTACTCCAGTACTTTGCAGAAAATAAGGTGGACAGAAGTCCAGAAAGGTTTTATCTCAAGACAGTCCCAGAAAACATGTGTGTGGGTAGCATCCACAGAGCCACATTGCCTCCAACATACTTGTTGGGTGGACAGTTGTTTACCTTTAATAGATGGCGTGATAAAGAATCGAATGAAATTTTTCCAATTGAATTCTCTCCATTTTTGTGAATTTGTAGATGTCTGTGACAACTCACAGATTTTATACCATTCTTCATTTGAGATCGTGACAGCTGCTTCTCTTTCCCACTTTTCTTTGACATACAGGGTTGTGTTTTTTTGACAGGACATTAAGCTAGTGTATAGCTTTGAAGTAATTTTGTGCGTTTTCTGTTGGTATGCACCACACAGAGTCTCTAAAACTGCATTAGGTTCGTTTCTGTCCTTAATTTCTTTATTGTAGTATTCTCTTAGTTGCAGGTATCGGAAGAAGTCTCGATTATCTAGACTAAATTTGTCTTTCAGATATTGAAAACTTCTTATTTCCCCATTATTAATTAAATTACAAAAAGCTGTAACCCCTCTATTGGTCCAAAATTTGAAATTTGAGTCATGCATTCCTGGTTTAAAGTCTTTGTCATGAGCTACCCATCTTAATATTTTTCTTTCTTTATTCAATTTTAATTGTCTTGCTACACTATACCAAATTTCCATTGTGAGTTGTGCAATTGGGCCAAGTATTTCTATTACATCGGTTGGGATATGGTCCTCTCCCACGAGTGTCTGAACATTGTACCCAGGGATGCATGTCTCAATCTCTTTCCATTTGGCACAGTAACTAGGGTCACACCAGCAACACAGGTAACGCAATTGAGCTGCATAGAAATACATTTTTAAATTTGGAAGGGCCATGCCCCCCTTATCCTTCTGCAGCTGTAATGTTGAATACCTAACTCTGGGCCTCTTCCCATCCCATATAAACTTCGATAACAGCTTATCCCAATCTGTGAATTGTTTTGACGGAATATTTACCGGGAGGGATTGAAATAAGTAAAGTAGCCTAGGGAGGATGTTCATTTTTACCACTTTTATTCTATCACTTAAGCCGAGTGGATAAGTAGACCATCTCTGGATGTCTGTTCTAATACTTTCGTTTATTGGGTTGTAATTAAAATTACATAGTAGTGAAGAATCTTTGGATAGAAATACTCCGAGGTATTTAATTTTGTTGGTGCTCCATTTTATATCATATGTGCGTGCAGTTTCATTTGAGGGTGAATGATTAAACAATAGTATTTGGGTTTTGGAAATGTTCAACTTGTATCCAGCATATTCATTATACTTTCCCAAAAGATCCATCAGTATGGGAAGTGATATGTTAATATCTTCTAGAAATAACAATATATCGTCCGCAAATAATCCGATCCTTTGTTCTCTTTCGTTGATCATAATCCCCTTTAAATCCTCTTTCTCCCGAATCGCTTGAGCGAGTGGCTCAATGTATAAAGCAAAAAGGGTGGGGCTTAATCCGCAGCCCTGCCTACATCCTCTACTAAGTTCAAACCGGTCTGTCAGAGATCCATTCACTTTTATTCTTGCGGTTGGCTTATCATAAATTGCTCTAATACATTGAACAGAGTCATTAGTAAGGCCAAATTTCTCCAACGTTAGATATAGGAAATCCCAATTTACTCGATCGAAGGCCTTTTCTGCATCGAGGCTGATCAAGGCCGCTTTAAGCTTTTTGCTGGAGATATTGTGAATCACATGTAGACTTCTTCTGATATTATCTTGCGTTTGCCTACCAATTATAAAGCCAGTCTGATCCTCATCAATTATATCAGAAATAAAGGTTTCAAATCGTCTAGAAATGATGGATGTATATAGCTTATGGTCCACATTTAAAATTGATATTGGTCTATAATTGGCACAATTATCTCTATCTTTATTTTCTTTGGGGATCAGCGTAATAATTGCTTCCTTCCATGATGGAGGGGTCTTGCCTTCTTTATGGATATAGTTTAAAGCTCTAAGAAGAAGCGGCTTCAATTCTACCTTAAAAGTCCTATACCACTCGCCGGGGAAACCATCACTACCTGGGGCTTTATTTGCCTTTAGTCTATTTATTGCTTTATCCAGTTCTTTTGATGTGATTTCTGCTAATATTCTTTTATTTTGTATTTCTCCTATACAGGGAAGGTCTAATTTGTCTAGGAATGCTCTAATCGACTCTTTGTTAGAAGCGCCCTCTAGTGAATATAATTTGCTGTAGTACTGATAAAAAGTGTTTTCTATTTCTTTTGGCTCAGTTCGAAGCTTTTGCGAGATAGGGTCTTTAATTTTCAAAATTGTTGAGTCCGCTTGTTGTTTGCGTAGTTTTCTAGCGAGAAACTTTGTTGATTTTGGGCCTAGTTCATAATATGCTTGTTTTGTAAATCTAGCTTTTTTCTCTACTTCATCATCTAAATAATTTTCAAGTTGCATTTTCAATTTTTGAATTTCTTTTTGAGTGTCTTGATCTTTTTTCAAAATGAATTTTTCCTCTTTATCTTTTAAATCTTTAATTAATCTTTTATATGCTTCAATCCTAGTTTTCTTAATGTTTGTTACCTTGGCTATTAGTTTTCCTCGTAAGACAGCTTTTAGCGAGTCCCATATTATTGATGGATCCACCTCCCCATTGTCATTTTCTTCTATAAATGTTTTGATGTCCTGTTTGACAGATCCAACTACTGATTGGTTGTTAAGGAGGCCCACATTTAATCGCCATACAGTATTTTTGGGGTTATTCTCCAAGTTAAGAGTTAAATATATTGCGCTGTGGTCTGAAACATCAGTGACTCCGATCTTGCATTCGGTTACCCTGTAGAAATCTTCCTGTCTCATTATAAAATAGTCTATTCTTGAATGAACCAAGTGAGGCACTGAGTAATGTGTATAGTCCCTCATAGTTGGGTGGAGCTTCCTCCACACATCCACCATGCCAGTTTCCTCCAA